TTTTGCATAAAATGATTGATTTTGCATAAAATGATTGATTGGAACCTAAGTAATCGGTCTTCTTGTCTACCCGGTACGTGCAAGAAGACTCAGTCTCCCCTAATTCTACTGACTGGGGGGTTTATTGGGAAAAAAAAAACCAACCCAAACAAGAAACCACAGCGTAATTAAAACTCGGTTTTGTCCCTAGCTTAGAAAGAACTGCCTGCCCATTCATACAAATCAGGGAAATTCTAGATGTCGAATACTAATCAGCCAGACATCCAATGGCCTGAAGGGCAGTGACCATGCTGATGCCTAAAACAGGGCTCACCTGAAACAGGGGCCAGACAAAGTGAAGACAATAAAAGCAGACARATTTAATCCAGGCCTGCTGGTACATTGAGGGCAGACAAAGCCTCCTCCTGAGGCTGCACCCAAAATGGACCCCGAGTCACGAGATCTTCCCCTTTGATCAGTTCTGTCTCATGAACACATCGGGCCCCAATTCTCCAATGACACCTTCAGCTGATGGTGTCACCCACCCCAAGTTTGCTCCCCCCAATTCTCTGTTGTTTCCATATTTTGGGGCTCTGAGGCAGTGAAGTGTCCTTGGATTTCAGGCCCAGAGAGGAATTGTTTTGTCTGAAGATGGGAGAACAGGAGCTTTAGTGCTGTGCATTGCAGAAGTACATGAATCAGATAGGTGAAAATACAGAAAAATCCTAAGGCATCAATGCGGTCATGGCACTTTGTGGTCAGCCTCGATCCAGTTCAGTCCTCCTTACTACTGATTCAAGGATTTGGAGCATTGCCAGCAGGGCTGGATTTACACTTGGACATCCCCTGTGCATGTTTTACCACCAAGCATTCTGCAAACATGAAACGTATGGAAATGAGCAGATGGAACCATTTCATCCTGACAGCATTTGCAACCTGGGTTTTCTTAGGGAGGATTCATTAATGGGYTTGAATAGGTGTGCTCAGGGTGAAGCAAAACTCTCAGAAAATGTGGGATGTCATTGGGAAGTTTAGGATGACAAAACAACACGGTGTATTTGGGGTGGTGGGTGGTACAAGCTGTGGATACATTTTCCTCTCCATCTCTCTCTTCCTCAACAACAAATTTCACCATAGTCACAGGAACCCTAAAAGGCAGTGGATATCCCCTTGTTTGGAGACTTTCAAACCAGCTGGGTCTCTCTTGTGTTTAGTAAATTAATTTTTTAAATGAATTCTCATCAAGTTTCTAATTATAATATCTTTAAATTTAATGTTTGTATTTCTGATGAAAGACAAACATTTTGGGGGCAGTCACAAGGGACATGAATAATTTCTTTAGAAGCTTATCTAATTAATTACATTTCTCTGTAATGTCTTTAAAATTTGAACTGCCATCATTTCATTAATTTAGATAAAAGTAAATCTTTAGTGTTTAAATATGACACTAGTGCTGAGAATTCTGATAAGCTTGAGATTCATTGTATTTTTATCAAATGAAGATTAAAAAAATGTGTTTAAAATRTTTGGGATCCATGATTTTCATATGAGGTTTTATTTGGTTTCAAATACATTATTATTTTATGGCATAAGTGTTCACCTCACCTGTCAGTAAGATCATAAGATGCAAAATCAACATAAATATTGCTCATACAATATTTTGGTGGTAGAATCTATTTTTCTTCTGTAATATGTTTCTTTCCATATTAAAATTTTTGGCTCCTTAAGATGGAAAATATGTAAATTCTGATATGTGGCAATCTTCCATATAGGAGGAATTTTAACTTTTCAGACAACCATAGAAATAAAAAGTCTTTTATAGTGCTTGTATATTTGAGTTTGTGTCTTTTGAAATTGTTATTTTTATGCCATTTCAATGTCAGTTGAACAGTTTCAATTGCTCTGCTACATTGAAATGGCATAAAAATAACATTTTTATTAGAAATTTGSATGTATGGGTGGAGCCTCATGAATTCTGAATGTCTTTAGCACACAAGRAAAAAACAGGGCTGTAAGATGGAGGGTTTGATTAGGTCACAATACAATTAACCTTGATGGGAGCCAYAAAAGCCACAGTGCATGTGGTGATTCTGCTTTTATTTGTCTCTGCCACTTGTAGGGCTCCCTGAGCAGTGCTGGGGACTGATCTTCTTGTCCTTTGTAGACATTTGTCCTGAGAATGCATTGAATATGGACATTTGTCATTGCTGGCAATACAAACAARGTAGAATACCATGAATGGAAAATAGTGTGGACTTTGAAGCTGGGACTGAATTACCTGTGCAGGTGTACATGTGCTGTGGAACAGTTTATCAAACTCCCCAGATCAGCTGGTGACCTCAGTTTAAACTGAATCCACAGGTTTGCTCTGTGGGGGAAAATAGTCTAAAATATTTATAAGTAGTCTCCAAGCAAATTAACTGTGCTGAATTGAGGGAAAGACACAGACAGCTGACTCTGGAAGCTATTCAAAGTATAACAAACTGTTGGTTTAGCTTTTCTTGCCTCACAGCTCATTCTCCTCTTTACAGTGATAAGCARTTTTATGCAAAATAACTCCACATTATAAATAATGAGTTGTTACTTCAGTGAAGTTCACAAGCCATGGTTTTGGTCATTGGTAGATGATCAAAGTGCTTTGGTAATCCAAATTACTGGCCAGTTTTGCCCCTGTCAGTGTCCCATCCATCTCTCTCCCGATGTGGGTCAGCACATTAACAGTGTGTGCAGTGAAGAAATAACAGATGTGCAGTCAGAACAATTAATGGAGTAAAATGTGCTGTTCCCTGCCAAAGCTAAACAAAGAAATAAATCTCTGCTGTCTGCAGCCTTCCCTTTTCCATGTATAATGGGCTTTATCAATAAAACAATACAAACTTCATCAAAGAGAAATCTCACCAATTTAGCCCAGGAAAGGTCTTCATTGAGCTAATCTCCAACAAATGCTGTTTGCAGTAGGGATCTATTTATTCTGTTCCACCACCAAGCAGCAGCCATCCTTCTTTATCTCCCGCTCCAGCTCTGTGATCCATCCCAGATGAGGCAGCCCCATTCAGCGAGGGCAGGGGGCAGGAAGAGCACGGTCCCTGGGTGCAATTTCCAGTTGAATATGCTTCCCTCTGGTACTTTGGTTTCTTTCCTTAGGGAACCACAGCCAAGTGTCCCGGGTACCTGTTGCTATCAAAGTCCTGGATGTGAACGACAATGCCCCCGAGTTTGCGTCGGAGCACGAGGCCTTTCTGTGTGAGAATGGGAAGCCTGGACAGGTGAGTACCCCAGGTTTTTATGGGGTGTGTGAGACTGGGCTGCAGGTTCTCCCTGTCACCTCATGGCATCTTTATTCCCAAAATATGTACCCATGTGTTGGTGCTGACAGCTCATAGCATTAACTTCAGATAAACCTGTGGTTGCTTTCTATGGGATGTCTCCCTATATAAAAACAAACTTTTTTTCCTCTTAGTTTTCAATTAAAGGTGAGTACTTTGGGACAATATCCTGARAAAATCCGGAGTGACTTTAGGCTCCCAGCATCACACTCTGTGTTGGAGCCCAACACTTCATAAATTCATGCGYGTTAAGGGGTGGGAGTATAATCCAACCTGAATTCCAGTTCAGTTACTGAGCTACATTTCAGCTGCTCCCAGGTATAATTTAGAGGCAACAGTTAAAACAATAAACCCATTTCCCCTTGATCTTATCTCAGTTATAATYTCTCTTTAGTTCTTACTTTTTATGACAGTTGGGAGAAAAATAAGACAGCAAACCAGAACTTGATGGAAAGTGAAAGTAAATTGTAATTGTGTTTAAAGTATCTAAAGGGGGTGTTGGAGAAGGGAAGTTCAAGTTTTCATTATATTAAAAAAAAAAAGAAATAAAATAAAAAAGGTTATTTCTTGCTTGATTTAATGAAAAAAAAGGTTGGCAAAAGAACATGCACAACACTCCCCAAGGTGAGGTAAACAGCGCCATGTCAGAAGCAGGATTTAAACTGTTCAGTCTCTTCCAAAGAAAATGAAGCAGATTTGTTTAAATGTATTCACTTTGAAGGACAAATGTACAGAAATAGGGAAGGATATCTCATATGCCACATAAATGACAAGGTGAGGATTTAAGAATATGCACAGACACTTGGAAAGTAATGCAGTGTAAATGAGATGGAGCTTTTGTCCAGCAACAGAAACACTGGGTGTTGCAACAATCCAATGTTTTTCAACTTTGCAATTTATTTCTAGATTGTGACATTTTATTTAAATAAACAGCAGCTGACAGCATGACATGGCTTGTTAATCCAACTATTCCTGTGTCTCATGTGGGTGTTAGGTATTAAATTCACTGTTCTCCCAAGAAGGTTACCTGACAATAGAGTCAGAAGTTCTTTTCTTTTTCATAGTATTAAATGACAACCTATATAGCAGTGTGTGACAACCCACCTCTGCCGGGGTTGCATTGTTACAGAGGATGGTTTGACTTCTAGCACTCCTTTTTGTTTAGTAAAACGGTGTCAAAAATGTCATTTAAGGAATGAGAATTCTCTCTATCCGCTGAAGAGGAGACATGCCCTTATGGGCAGACAGTCATGTTACTGTTGGCATTTCAGTTCTTCTAGCTCAGAGTGGATTTCTGCTTAGCTCAGGGTGAATTTCAGATGCTGAGTAGTTCCATTTTCCAGGACAGATTAAATCCCAATGACTGTGCCTTTATCCAGGACTCAGTTAGCCTCCCTAAAATCAGAAAGTTCTGTTGTACAGCATTTCCTGTATTTATCTAGGTATTCCTATCAAATTTCAGGTGGTTTAAGAGCTGGTGGAAAATGTTCACATTTCATTTTGGAATAAAACAATAAATGAGATGATTAAGAGTCGGCAGGTAAAAGAGGCTTTTGTTTAAGCACTTACAGAAAACTTCCATTAAAGCATGATATTCTTTATCTTACCRTTAGCTCTTGCACCCTTGATCTGATGGCAGATGTCACTCTTGAGCATGGATCCTCGGCTGAACTTTACAGATGGTTATTAAATATTTGGCTGCCAGCATGGATGAGGTGGCACTGATCCTGCAATTTATTCTGTGTTTAAACAAATAACACTGCTGGAACAGTAACCAGTCCAGCATAATCACCAAGGTTAGGTTCTGAACTGAAGCTGTCATTCAAAAATTATCAGCTCCTGTTAAGATTTTAGAAACTCCACTACCTTATTATATTTTCTTATGCTTATTTCTATATTCAAGTTTTGGAAGAAATCATATTAATCAGTCAAGATGTAGAATTCAAGAAAGTACTTAAATCTCAGCTGTGAAATAGCTGATATGAGAAAGATGCTAGTTCCCATGTAGCAAAAGCCTAATTTGGATGGTTCTCCAAAGCTGAAACTCCAATGTTACAAGTGCAGGAAAAATGCAATTGTCTCAAGGTGTTCCAGTCTATAGACATTTGCAGTTCAATTTAAATAGAAGTTTAAATCAAATTTTATTTGCCATAAAGGAGGTTGCATTTGAACTGTTTGTAAAACCTTGTGTGCAGCCGCTAAATGCGTTGCACCATCTATTCCAGCTCAGTTTCTAAGGGTTCTATTTTGGGTTCTGATATAATTGCAGCAGCAAATACATCTGCCGGTGATGTGACACACTGGATGACAAACTGCTGGTGTACAACACTGCCAGGTGCATTTTCCTTGCCTTCCCCCACTTCTTAGAGGAGAGGTACCACAGCTGATAGGAGAGGAAAGGGAGGGAGAAGGGAATATATTTGTCTGTGCTCTTTGCACATTTTCACACACAACAGAAAGTTGTTGGAAATGCTTTTTGTCACTTTTAAGAAAAAAAAAAACCCAAACAAACAAACAAAAAAATTGAATGTACTGTTGCAGTACTTGTAAGTTAGCCACAAAACAGCCTTTTCCTATTTTTTTTTTTTTTTTTTTTTTTTTTTTTTTTTTTTTTTTTTTTTTTTTTTTTTTTTTACTGGCCAGAGTGTTCATGGTTTGCTGGTTATAGCTGTGCTGTTGGTTGTCCACCAGCACAGCAAAATCATTTTCCTGTACTCCTAGAACTTCTGTAATGTTGAGTAAGAAAAGTGCTTCCCTCACTATTCCCCAGTCCACACTCAGATTTTTCCACTGTAGTGCTGTTTGCTGGAAACAAAGCTACAAAATTTCCCCTGGAGTAGTGCAGACAGCGATATATGAGAGCTGAAGGCAGCTTTAAACAGGAGCAATATAAAACTGAGTACAATGCTCCTCAAGTCTCCCACAATTTGTCTCTATTTTATTCACTTCTCCTGCTAGAATTGTTTTTCTTTCTAATGGGAGAAACCTTGAGGTAGATCTTTGTCTGTCTGAAGAGTCAAACGCAGGTTCTGGCAGTAAAGGGATGGCTCCAGCTGAAAAGGCAAAGTTAAAATTGCCCTGTGGTGGATCTACTATTACAGTGTTATGAGTCTGCAAAATAATGCAGAAATAACCATGAACTGCAATTGGACTGCAACAGCTTTCTCAAAATTGGAAAATCAGTTTTATTAAAATTACCAAAGAGTTAATTAGTGATAAGGAACCATTCTGAGATTAACAAGTTGCATCACAGGAAAAGACTTTTAAACAGTAYCATGTACTCAAACTGCACGTTGATAGTTGTGATACACTGATAATAACTTTGTTTTTCTATTTATTCTTGTACATATTATGTCAGGCACATGTGGCTTTGTAGAAATGCAATACAAACCTACAAATTAGAATGCCAAGCTGTCCTAGGGGACCATTTAACTATTCATTACAATCCAGAGCCGCCTGCTAAACAAAATCTGCTGATTTACTSAGCTTCTGCTAAATGTATGTACAGAACCAAATTGCACGCATGAAGTATTAATACAACATCAAAGTTGAAATTTTACATGTAAGAATTTTAGAACATTCAAGACGGAACAGCTGAAGGGTTATTAACTTTCACTGGATATGTAGTGAAAAAAAATCAGTTGTTTTCTTTATGATGAGTATTGATCAGTCTTGCTATAATGGGAACACCTTTGGCATGTGCATGTTGTCACCAGGAAAGAAAAGTGGGCWGSAGGCCAAWRRMASCCRGGCTGTGGCAGCCATGGGTGACAGCAGGAGCAGGGCAGGGCCCGTCCCCTGGGCTGKCACTGCTGAGGGACCTCGAGGGCCGTGTCCAGTGCTGGGCCCTGATGGCCACAGAGCCCTGCAGGGGCTGGAGCGTGTCCAGGGCAGGGAACGGAGCTGGGGAAGGGTCTGGAGCCCCAGGAGCGGCTGAGGGAGCTGGGAAAGGGGCTSAGCCTGGAGCAAAGGAGGCTCCCGGGGGACCTTGTGGCTCTGCACAACTCCCTGACAGGAGGGGACAGCCGGGGGGGTCGGGCTGTGCTCCAGGGAACAGGGACAGGAGGAGAGGGAACGGCCTCAGGCTGGGCCAGGGCAGGGCCAGGGGGGACAGCAGCAGCAATTTCCCCATGGAAAGGGTGCTCAGGCCTTGGCAGGGGCTGCCCAGGGAGGTTTGCAGTGCCCATCCCTGGAGGGGCCCAAGGAAGGGCTGGAGGTGGCACTCAGAGCTCTGGGCTGGGGACAAGGTGGGCATCGGGCACAGCTGGGACTGCATGGGCTGGGAGGGCTTTTCCAGYCCCAGAGATCCTGGGATTCTGTGATTTTGTGATTCTCAGCCGTGTTGTGACCCACAAATTGAGAGCTGGAGAATCACTACAGCAGTGTTCCATGACATGACCACACAACACAGAGCACTGAAATGTTCCCATCAGCACACTAATAACAACTTGGAAATGAGAATTACTCTACTCTTCTCACCCTTACAGTGTAAAAGACACCACAGTTTTATATCACTGCATATATCTAGTGGGTTTTGGTTTTTTGGTCTTTTTTTTAAGAGCTTATTTTAATGCAAAYGCACAAAGAAATAAGGTTGCTATGGGAACTCTAACTCTTAATTCTGTGGTKTGTGCGTGCAACACAACAAATGTACTACTGCACTGAGCCTGTCTTTTGCATATAATTTTTGGTGCCTTTTCAGAGAAAGAAGGATTTCATAAACAGTGGAGGGAATGGATGGAAAGAACTGAAATATGAGAAAGAACTGTACAGGACAAAGATCCCTAGTTTTTATTTCTTGAAAATTTCCAGTCTGGATGATATTTTAAACTTACTTCATAGAATTTYGGTGGGATGAAAATCCCTATTACTGCTGCTCTTGGCTACTGACTTTCAGGTGTATTAATCGAAATCCTGGAGACAGCAAACTGATTTTTTTTTTCATTCAGCTCCCTTACATAACCCTGGAAAGATTTAACAGCCCTGATAAAATACTATAACAACCTGATAAAGTGCACCCGTTATATGCACTTGCCCTTCCAGGTTTCACCGTGCCATTACCCTTTTTCCCTCTTGCTTTCCCATTCCCAGCAGTGTTTGAAAAATTGAAGAGCCATAAAGTAGATCTGTCTAAATATATCTGCCTTGTTCAGGATCCCAGCCCAAACTGCACTTCCCCGTGATGATGGATTGCTGGTACCTGCTCCAGCCCTGGGCACATCACACGTGAGGGCGTTAGTGCCTTACAGCTCTAGGAGAAAACCAAAAATATTTCCAATCTGCAAATGGGGCACTGGGACAGACAGAAGCTGCTTAGACATTTTCCCACTGTTTATATTTTTCCCACTTTGGGATCCATTATTCGGTTGTTAAATGGAGACATTCTTAAAGGAAAAACTGAGTTAGGCCTCTTTTTTTGTCCATCTCTTCCAATACATTTGTTTATAATTTTGTCAAGATTTCCAGCTTGGTAGATGCAGTTGTCAAAAAAAAAAAAAAATCTATTTATGTGGCATTTAAGCAATCTAATTTTGTTTTCAGTAGTTTTTTGATGGTAATGATGATAATGATAAATTGACCTATGAAGCATATGATTGGGTAAAGAATTAATTGTCTCAAATTCCTTCCTAAGTTGGGTTGTCCTACAAATATTAGTACCTGCTCAAACATTTTKTTACATACATAATTTCAAATATTTGTGTTTTGGTGTTGATCCTTGTGGCTATCTAGGAAGATTTTGTTCTTTCTTCGACTCTTGAAGAACGTAAATGTGATTTTGACTATTGTCATACATGTAACACATAGAGATTGATAGTCCTTGTGGTTAAAGCAGAATACAATGTTGCTTATAGGCATTTTCTTAGGGAAACGTGGAAATTTTAAAATATAAGTCTATGAATTTGGACAGCATCAAACCCTGCTTCCATTTTTCACTTTATACTTTAAAACTAAAATTTGTAGTGATTCCGAATTTGAATTTAATTGTCCAAGAAATTATTGGTGCATCATTTTAGGCATTGCAAATAAATGCAAAGACAAATGTTATTGAATTCAATGGACATGGGAAAGATCGGTAATTCTAATTAAATTTCTTATAAACCTCATCTWGCACAACCTAACTTAACATTGGGTCTGAGGGTGGGTTCTGGATCCATGGCTGGGTTTATTTCTGTTTCYCTGGAAAATGTTTGGAATCAAAAGCAAGTTCACCAAATATTTTAAAAATCCCAACAAAACAAACACAAATCACAAAGAAACCCAAACAATCAAACAAAAATGGAAAAAAAGAAACCCACAAAAAAAACCAAACAAAACAAAACAATGAAAACCAAAACAAAACAAATAACAAGCCTCCTGGCTATTTTAAAATAATGTTTCTTTCTTTCACAGTCCTGAGCAACTTTGTATTATTTGAAGATGATCAGCTGTAGTACCTGAGTAATGTAGAAGGTAAAAATTGTAAATGGAGGCAAATCCACTCCAGACACTGCAGTTGGTCATATAAATCATAGGAGGTGCTTCATAMAAAGTTGTTTGATTATTCAAAGCTATCCAAACTACCCAAAACACTCTTCTCACCTTGTTATCCTGCATTATTCTACAAATCATTTGTTAATAATGATCTTTTAAAAGAAACAAGCATATGTTCCTAGTACAGGAATAACTCAGGTTTTATTAGAATTAAGGGGGAAAAAAACATACAGACTTAGATATTTTCTCCTTTTTTCCTTCAATTTAGTTTATTTATCTTCTTAAATTTCACATCAAAATTAATTTTTAAAAAATTATTCAATGTAGTGACATGTGTTGAGGGGTGGGGGATGGGAAAAGGATTAAAGATATATTATATATCCAGGTCCAGTGAGAAGCATGTCTATATTAATTAAAGGCAATGTGAGTGTTTCTGAAAAAAAATTTCCTTTTTTTTTAGTTGAATAATAATTTTTTACTTGCCTAAATGAGCAGCAGTTACTGCTGGCCTGTCTTACCTGTCTCTCCTTATTTTTTGTCTCCTCATTGTGGAAACTGGTTACAAGGGGCAGATACAGATTCTTTTCCCAGCAGTTCCAGTCTAAGGTCTGCAAAAGCCTTGCAAAGTTATAAATTAGTTTGGTTTTTTTTGGTTTTTTTGGGGTTTTTTTTTTTTTTTTTTTAATCTGGCATGGAGAGAAATGAAATATGCCCAATAAATGCATTTTTTTCAGTACTATCTGTTTCTCAGGAGTGTGAAAACTTAATGAGCCCATTTCTGTTGCAGGTAATTCAGATTGTCAGTGCCATTGACAAAGATGATCCTAAAAACGGGCATTATTTCCTGTACAGCCTTCTTCCTGAAATGGTCAACAATCCCAATTTCACCATCAAGAAAAATGAAGGTAAATATAAAACATATAAAATGTGTATCTCAACTTACTTTCAAATTGTTTTGTGGGCTTCAAATTACTTTGCCAGTGTGTCCTTTGGGCAATTAAAATGGAAATAATCAACTCAATGGTACCTTCATTATATCTCTTAAGCTATTTCCAATAACTTTAAAGTAGATAAGAAGAAAGTAAAATGAGTATGGAATTTAGATYCAGAAGACAGCTCAGTGGCTTAAATAAAATGAAAGGATGGATTTACTGCCTGCATTATTTCTATTAATTTGAAATTCCAGAGATATGCTGTRAGATGAAAATTTGAAACTCTGCTGATAAATAAATGTTGATTCCTACATTGACTGTTTATATATGAGGACATGAAATTAAATATCTACTAAATCTCCCAAAGCAAAAGCATTTTCAGCCTTTTTGTTGTGTGTATAAAGGTTTCAAAGTACTTTGATGAGGAACTTTTGCTAGAAAGAGAAATGCCTTAGGTCAGCAAAGCCCAGAAGGGCACTTTGAATCTCTGTGCTWTGGAGCACTTCTGGAAGGACAAAATGTCATTTTGCAGGGCTRTGGAAGGGGACATTCATGTGTGATGGGAAAAAAAAATAGACCCATTTAATACTGTTGAGCAATAAATTTATAGTGATCCTTTTCTTTGGCACACAGATCTGTTTGAAGGTCAGGTGAGAGAAAGAGCTTGGACTGATCCCAAGAACGCTATAAATAGTGCTYGGTGTGTTTGTACTTACTTGAATATTCAGCAAAGTTGTTCTACCTTGGCTTCTTTTAATAAAGCACACCCTGCCAGGAATTCTAGTCAAATTCAGTGTCTTATTTGAAATTGCAAGAAAGTAAATCCCTGTTTAGTCCATAACTAATAGGAGGATGTATGTGTGAGCTGTATATGCAGGAGTGCAGAAGCAATACATGAAATGTCATTTAAAGAGAAAATGCTATTTGCAGTTTCTATTCTATCTGTTCCAACCTAGAAGCATGATGGCACTGTTTTGCTGAGTGACACTGCACCTAAATTCTTCAATCTGCTTAAATATATCCCATAATTTACTTCCCTTTAGATATGTTTTTCTCTCTAGCGTTCACAAAGTGTGCCTTTACTTATATCTCTATTTTCTTGTAGTAAATGAGTCTCTGTGTGTTTTCTGGAGAAGATAAAACAAACGTCTTCAAAACACATTTCATAATCATCAGCAATGTAGCACAAATTGAATTAAGCATCCTAAATGCGAGGTGGTTTGCTTGGCACAGCATGACAAAGTAAAAAAGATCWTAGCATTTCTCTTCATGTTTAAATACTGAGCTCACGTCACTAATTACCCTTGTCCTTCCAATCTGTTACCTGTTTAAACCCCACTCCTGCTCCTGCTCACAGACAATGGCAAAACGAGTCCTGAGCTGAGTGGGAGTGAGGAAACTTTCTATGTAACAAGCTTCAGAAAAACAACTCCAGTTTTGGTACAGCATTGCCACTCAGTATTATGCAGTTTTTAATGTGTTTGAATCGGTTAAATGTGAAAATCCTCTTAAAACAACCACCTGAAATCTCTTGAAATTAAAAACCTGCTTGAAGAGCCTTTTCTGATTKAATCCTTCAGTATCCAATAATAAAATCCCAACTATGCATGCCATCCTTGTCTATGGAGATTGCTCAGTCAGGGGTRCAGTGCAGGGCTGATGTTAGAACACAATCTCCCACAGGAAGCAAATCTTCCTGTCAGAGCCAGAATCAGGATATAATTTGGGTGAGGTGAGTTTTTATGTCCTTTAAGCATCACATGTCTTCAGCAAGTCTTTATTGGGTTACGCCACTTAAACAATGAACTTGACCATGACTTTGTCTTGCATGTATCTGCTAGACAAGCATGAATGGTTATTCCTGTTGAAAATGTATGCCTAAAAACCCTGAAGTCACAAGGCAAATTTCTCCATTTTTTTTTGTATTACTGAGTGTCTGCACTGTCCACAACTGCATTAAGGAAATGCCTGTAACAACCCTGCTCTCCCTTCTGGAGATCAGAGCAATGCTCAACACACTAAACCTTGGAATARAAAACATTCCCTCCTGATGGCCAAAATCCTTGACATCTTCCTGACTGTGTCCTCAGCCCCAGCTTCCTCCCAGASCCTTGGCCCTGCCAAATTAATTCTTCAAGGCAGCAGGAACCTGAAGGCTGCTGAAGAAATGCCATCCTCTTGCAGATACCAGGCAGGGACTGTGTTTTCTCAGGGAGCCTGCTGTAGAAATCCAAATTTTTACTTGCTAGAATTAGCATATCTTTATTTAAATAATCTGTCATATCTTGTCTTTCCTCAAAGTTCTCTCTTGAGGGTAGAGATGAACAAATGTACCCACCCCAAGAGCATTTGTGACATGATATTGCCCATTTGGGTTCTCTAGTGCCCCGAGTAACTTTGTGACATTGAAGCTGGTGCTTTGGTGCACGAAGAGAGCTATTTGGAACCTGCAGGGGAAAAAGCTGCAGTCTTCTCTTTCTGCCCCTCACACTAAAGGATACATAAGATGCCTGTGATTTGGAATGTTCTCTTCCCCTGTGGAACATAAGTACAACCATTAATCAGTTTTGTTCATTGCACACAGGCTGATTCAGTTATTCAACCCTTCCAGATCACCCTAAGGCAAGTTCCCACGACAGTCAGTAATTAACTGTGTTGCTGACACACTCTTATTACTCAAATATTATGATTGGCCACATTATTATTGACAAATTTGTTTAAATAAGTTGCATGACAGATACCTTCATCAGGAACCACACAAAAAAAAAAAAAAAAAAAAAAAGAAAAAAAAAAAAAAAAAAAAAAAAAACCCAAAAAAAAAACCAACCACTTCTCAGAAGATTTTATTATGTGTCAGGGATGTTGTGCTGTGCTTACAGCAGAATCTGTGCCCTGCAGTGGTACACTGGTGTTCTTTATTGGCTTGGTTTGTGAAATTCCCATATTTACAGTTCCTTCGGTGGACAAGATACCAAAAGAGGCTGTGGTGCCTTTCTGATGTAAAAAATGTAAATTTAAACGCCATCATGTACTGAATGTCTGTAGATCATCTCTTAGCAATTTTCCATATCTCCTGATGCTTTTTTGCTGTCCTTCCCTGAGCTCAGGGGTCTGTTCCTGGGGASCTTTTATAGGGTTTGTGCCTTGGGTTCCTGGGCAGTGAGGGATAATCTGAAGAGAGGCAATCCTGCTGTCTCAGGCTGTAATCATGGCACACTGATCACCTGCATCGCCAGGTGCACAAACCTTTATCCCCTCTCAAGAGAAATGATGGAGTTACATAACAAAAATACAACAAGTTAATGCTACATGAAAATCATGTCATGTTTTCTGTGTTAGTCCTGTGACCAAACCCAKGACTCTGTGACATAACAAGTCCCCAACTTTACAGACTCCTGACTGAATCTCTGGGCATTTTTCACGTGCCTTTGTGCTGGGTTTCTGCACAGGAGCACAAGTAGGGGGGAAAAAAAGAAAATTTTTGTGTGGTGTGTCTGAGAAACTTCAAAGCAGAAAAACCTCCAACTTCAGATGAAAATATCTGATGTTTAGACAAGTGTTGATAYACTCTAGCAAAGTGTTGTAGACTGACTGGAATTAACCCTTCCAAAAAAGCTGTAGGCTCATAATAAATGACAAAAAACTGACAGGAATTTAGACAACTGATGAGGATTTTGTACTGTCATGGCATCAGAAAACTGAAATGAGCCCTCAGGAAATGGAATTAGCATTTGTTGGCAGCCTTTTTTTCAGGTGAGTGGTCTTCACAGAGCATTTCCTAAGATTCAATCCAGTGCAGGGATCTCCTCCTGCATCCCAAACAATACCCTCACAGCAGTACCTGTTTTCAGCAGTGAATTCTTAAGGTTTCCTGGGATTGTTCAAGTGAGAACAGAATTCTGTGAAAGGAGTGTTTTCACACTTGCAGACATTCTGATATGCTGCCAATGTGATTTTTACTGTCAAAAAATACCAAGTGCGTCTTTGCCATAAAGAGACCCAAAGTTGTTTGGTTTTTTTTTTTTTTTTCCCACAAGAAATTTCCATTGCTATTCCATTTTTCTGATGCCAGATTCTGTTTCCCAAATGGAATAAACCCCGAATCAAATGTTCCACATAGCCTTTGGAAGCAATAGTCCTTCTGACAGGAGAAATGGTGCACCTTTCCTGGATAAAGGGGATATTCCATACCTCTTATAGGGCTTCTGTAGCAGAACCCAATCCCAGGGCCATGGGCAGGGTTTGCCTTTGGGTTAAGAACCTTAGTGGCATGAGCTGACATTCCTGCAGAAATCCAATAGCCAGGTTGGGCTTGTGATAGGCTGATTATCAGTAATCAGCCYCCTCTCTCCCCCAAATATTCAGTGTCCATCTGGCAAGCTGAGCTCTGGATTTGGTTCTGATTTAATGAGTGCATAGTAAAGAGTTTTGGATTTTTTTTAATTTTAGGGTTTTTTGGGGTTTTTTTTGTTTGTTTCTTTGGGTTTTTTTTTTTTTTTTTTTTTTTTTTTTTTTTTTTTTTTGTTTTTTTTTTTTTTATTTTATATGTCCACTTAAGTGATGAACTGTTCTGTTGGTTTCCTCTAACAAACTTAGTATATATTCTCAGCCATGCTTAGTCTATTATACCTATGATACATACAACAGYTCCAAGACTGATCATGTTTAAATGTCCATTTATTTTGTTCTTTCCATCAAGTTAAATCTTCCTTATGTTGTCCTTGTGCTGCCTTGAAATTGCAGGCATTGTGTTGTGTATTTTATAGGAAACAGCCTGGTGTAATCACTTCAATTACTGGATTGCATGCCTTTGTATACTATTGATTATTTTATATTTCATCACCTCTTTATCATTAAAAACCAAATATTTCTAAAATCTTTCACAATAGCTGAGGAAAACAATTACATGCAAGCTTTCTTTTAGATATCCCAAATAATAAAAACGAATTATTAGCACTTCATTTTTTGAAAGT